TGGATATTTTAGACTATGAAAATGAAAAACATCTGTTCCACAAAGAAAGTAAAAATTAAGGATAGGGATGAATAGGAGTCAAGAGCTTTCATTACTCTACCAGAGGACCAGTTTGGATCTCAGCACTCACACCAGGCAACTCTAAAAGTCCTGTAACTCCCGTTCCAAAGGATTTGACATTCCCTTCTGGCCTCCATGGGTGCCCCATGCATACACACACCCATATACACACTTGGAAAAAAATAAAATAAATCTATTTTTAAAGTGAAAATTCAACATACAGAATTCGAGGAAATATTTGCAGATCATAGATATGATAAGGGGTGTGTATCTAGAATATATTAAAAACTCTTATATCTCAACAATGAAAGAAAAAGAAATCCAATTAATAAATGCCATAAAAGTCAGGCCTTGAATTGCAGAACTGTAATTCCAGTACTGGAGATGTTGAGGCAAGAGGATCACCATAGATGTCGGGCAGACTGAGTTATATAATGATCCACTTAAAAAACAAACAAGAAAACCAAACCAGCAAAAACAGTAAAGCAATAGGAAGAAAGTATATATATATAGATGCTTCTCCCAAAAGGATGTAGAAGTGGCCAATATTCATATGTAAAGATACTCATACTCATTGTCATTAGCTCCCAGGAAAATACAAATTAAAATCATAATCCAAGGATGAGGATGTAGCTCAGTAGGCAGAAAGTTTGCCTTGCACTTGTGAAGCCCAGGGTTTGACCCTCAGCAAGGCACAGCCCAGGCATGGTGGTACACACGCCGATAGTCCAAGTGCTCAGGCAGGGGAGGCAGGAGAGCATCAGATGTCCAAGATCATCCTTAGTTTTATAGGGAGATGGAGGCCAGTGTGGAAACAAAACAAAAACTTAAATTCCATGCCATATACACTGCCATGGTCACAATAAAAGTCTGGGTTCGAAATGGTAGCACGTGTTTTAATCCTAGCACTCAGAAGGCAGAGGCAGGTGGATCGCCAGGACTTTGAACCCAGTCTGCTCTACAAGTGAGTTTCAGGCCTGTAAAAGGCTAGTTGCTGAAAATGTCTCAAAAATTAAAACAAAGCAAAACAAAACAAACCATGTCGGCATGGTAAGGACATGAAGAAACTGGAACCCTCGTGCAGTGCTGGTAAGGATGTAGAACAGTGTGGATGCAAAGGAGAAATGTCTGGTAGTTTGTCAGCAAGCTGAGCAGAAAGTCATCTTGGCAGACACACAAGAGAAAACATGTTTCTATACAAACGCATATACACGAATATTTATACTAGCGTCACGCATAGCAACCCCAAAGTGAAAACAACCCAAGTGATGAATGGATACACAGAATGAATATTAATACAGTGTTAAAGATTTTGATAATAAAAAGGAATGGAGCGTGGATACGATAGTCTGCATCACCTGTGGTCCCAGGTACAACAGGGACTGGGACAGTAGCATCCTTGAGCCCAACTGGAGGGCACAGTGAGATTGAATAAAAAAAAAGATAGAAAAATGACAAAATACTGATATTGATACATGCTGTAACCTGCAGGGATGAATCTTAAAAATATTCAAGCCACACATGAGAGTCCATGTATTGTGTGATTTTACTTACTTATTTATTTATTAGTGCTGGGATTGACCTGGGGCCGTCTACATGCTAAGCACATGCTCTACTACTGAGTTGCATCACCAACCTTTTGTTGTTTACAGGTAGGGGCTTGCTATGCAGTTCAGGCTGGCCTCGACATGTAGCCCAGGCTGTTCTCAAACTTGCCGCACCCTACCACAGCCTACCCTGGGCTTGGATTATTGATGTGCACTATCACACTGCCTTGGTCAACAGTTTGAATCCAGGTACCCTCTAGATCACCTGTTTCCCTTCCCTCTACTCACCATGCAGTGAACTCCATGGTGACAGTTCAAAGTCAGTGTACCGGGGATGTTTCATAAGTTCTCGTGTTAACTTGATGTCTTTCCTCCTGGGGACAAGGTCGTCTTTGGAGTGGCCCTCTCTAAGACCTGTGTTTTCCACATTTTCCTTGCCCTGTGTTTTGGATGGCAGCATGCAAGGGCCACAGGACATCCCACACCAGGCCAGCTGGCCTTTACGAAGCACCACGAACTAAAAAGCTTCTCTCTTTGTATTTAGTCACCAAGCCTGTTCTTGCCCATGATGCTGCTCGGTGGCCTGATGGCTTCCTTTGGCAGGGAGAAACTGAGGCACACACGTAGTGCAGTTTGAACAGAAGTGGGAAGGAAGCTGGGCATGCTGTTGTAACAGGCCTGCATGAAGACTGTCTGAGCTGATGTCCTAGCTTCCTCATAGTCCCTGGTTGCCTCACAGCAACGATGACACGCTAGAATAAAGTTTAGGGTGGTCACCTGTTTGTATCACAGTGAGACCTGTGCCTGGCTCCACTCAAGTGTCGTATAAGGGTTTTCAAAGTTTATACGTTATAAGTCACCTGGCTCCCGAGCATGGAACAGTGCAATTTCAAGCCTGCTTTGGGTTCTAGCTCTGGGTTGCAGTGGCAGAACTGGACCCAAAGTAAATTCAGACTATAAACAAAGGATAGGTTTAGCTGCCTGCCTCCAGCTACCCTTACTCACTTCTTTGCAGGGCTATTCAAAGAGTTAAAGTCCTGAGCTTTGAGTCAACAAACAGCACTGTGTTGCATAACAGTTTCCTCTGCAATTGAAACTACCTCCTTCAGGGAGGCTCCTTAAGTAGGAAGGTAAGCAACTCAAGATAACTTTAGGAAGTTCCTGAAACTGACCAGAATCACTAGGCCTAAATAATAAAAGTTGAGCTGCATCACATCCCCCCCCCCCCCAACCAACATACCTCAGAAGAGTAGAGTCAAGCTAGGAAGAAGACTCTCAGGCTGAGACCTGCTGCCTGGCAGAACAAGAGCCGGGGAGAGTTGGCTGGGAGAGGTTGGGACCAACTGAGGCACCTGGATAGGACCCTCTCCAACCTGCTGAGCTGTCTGCAGGCTGTGCACTGTGCTCCAGGTTCCCAGCTTTGTAAGTGGTCAGTCCCTCATGCTGGGGTGGGCCTTGGTGATGCAGCTGTCTTTGAGTCATTTCTGCACCTCTAAGTAACCCTTACCCATAGTCCTCTAAGGAACCCCAGTAAAACGCATTGGTTTACCAAGCTGGACTTTGGTTAGATCCTGTCTGTCATGGGATCTGTATCTGGGGTGAGTAGACATGTGGGTTGTGTCTCCCCAGGAAAGGTTTTGTCACATAACACAGTGAGCTTCAACTGAACCATGTTGAAGTGACTGAGCAAAAGTAAGGGGTGACTGGATGGAAATGGGCAAGGGTGGGAAAGGAAATCAGATCATATCAGGGGGATTTACTGGGCCTGTAGGGAGGGATATGACAAGAGAAGACAGGACCCATGGAGGGGAGAGAGACCTCTGTTGCTTCAGAGTAGTGGTGCCAATCCTCATGGCTTCAGGGAGCATCAGAATAACCTCCCTGTTCTTTCCCTACTTCTCTCTCCTTTAGGCTTCTGCCAGCACACTTGCCTCCCGCTGACGGCAGCAGGACACACACTGGTGCAGCCATTTCTGGAGCAGCAAGAACAGGCTATTGAAAATCAACTAGCGCTTCCTCTCCCTAACATAGTCCATCTCCCCTTATCGTAGCATCTTTTGATTTGCATGTTTATTGTCTGGGCCCCCATGGGAATATCTGTATCATGAATACATAGTGGGAAAATATGCAGAGAGGAGAGTCTCTTATAGCCCAGGCTGGCTTCGAATTCACTGGGTGCAAAAGATGACCTTGGATTTGGAATCTTCTGCCTCCATCCACCTCCTGACTGCTGGGATTGCAGGTTTGTGCTTCCATGACCTCTTGTACTTGATGCTGGGGACAGAAACCAGGATCTCATGCACGCTGGGTAAGTGCTTTTCAAGCTGAGCTATATCCCAGTCTAAAAGCGCATTTCTTGAACACAAGATCTTCAGATTGTATTTTAGTTAGGGTCACTCCTGCTGTGATGAAACACCAAGACCAAAGCAACTTGGGGAGGAAAGCATTTATTGGTCTTACACTTCCATATCATGGTTCATCCTTGAAGGACAGGAACTCAAGCAGGGCAGGAACCCGGAGGCAGGAGCTGAAGCAGAGGCCATGGAGGCTGCTGTTTATTGGCTTGCTCGTCATGGCTTCCTCAGCTTGCTTACTTACAGAACCTAGGACCACCAGCCCAGGGATGGCACCACCCACAATGGGCTGAGCCCTCCCTTGTCAACCACTAATTAAGAAAATGTCCTACAGTCAGATTTTATGGAGGAGTTTGTTTTTTCAATTGAGGGTCCCTCATTTCAGATCATTCTAGTATGTGTCAATTGACATAAAACTAGCCAACACAAATTCAACACAAATTTTAAGAGTTTTTTGTTTATTGCCATGTCCCCTCTCCTCCCGCCCAGTGCCTAGCTTGGTGTCTCGCAAATAATAGGAGCTGAATAAATCATTTTGACTGGGCCAACAGACTAGGGCCCAGGTAGCTTGTGGGAGTGCTCTCTCATCTTTTAACAGAAAGATCTGGTGGCTACCTTTTGAATACTTAAGGGTGCAGGGCCAGGGGTTGAAGTTCTTAGCCTCAGATCTGTGGCTGGGAGGGACAGCAGGTGATGGCGAGTCCTTCAGCCCTCCCCCGAAGTAGTGCTGTCTCCCCACTCCGCTTCACCCAGGTGCTGTCCGATCCGCCCTCCGTAGGAAGCCGGCCCGTGGCGGGACAAGCCGAGTGGCGGGCCGAATCCCTCCCACGGTCTTTGCGTGAGCAGGGAGGGACGCCCGGCGCTCCTGGCAGGTTATTTTTAGCTGGGGGAGGGGACGGAGCGGCAGGCCAGGCGACAGAGGCTGAGGTGGCCACGGCGTCCTCCGGCAGCGCGCGCCGCTGTCCTCGGGGACCTGCACGGTGGGGGCGGGGAAGGCGGCGGGAGAGCGCGGCGGGCGGGAAGGGGCGGAGAGCGCGCTCCTGCGGAGGCGGCTGTGCTCATCCCGGCGGCCAAGCGCTTCAGTGCTCGCCGGGCTTCGCAGATGGCTTGCCCCGCTCTCGGTCTGGAAGCTCTTCAGCCCCTGCAGCCGGAACCACCTCCGGAGCCTGCCTTCACCGAGGCACAAAAGTGGATCGAGGTAGGTGCCGACGGCGACGGGCGGCCTTGCAGGGGCGCCCCGAGCTACTGCCCGGCGCGCAGCGCTCGCGGGTCCAGCTCCCCACCCCCGTTTCGTGGCCAGTTTCCTCAGGTCACCTACCGCGGCCTCCAGCGGAGTGCGGTCCCCGGGCTTTGGAGCCCCGGGGTGGTGGGCGTGAACGGGGGGGGGGGGCACTGCGGTCTAGCAGTGCGCCTAGGGGCAGGAGGCGGTCCCCTGCGCCTTCATCCCTGCTCGCAATCTCGGCTCGGTTTGCAAGCGCTGCCATGGGAAGCGCAGTGCAAGCCGAAGCTCTGCAAACGCGCCAGGGGCTCGAGCTTCCAGAGCCCTTGCGGGAGCCGCATTTCAGGGTGTCCGGCTCTCTGCTCCACATTTCACCTTTTGGCCTCCCTCCTCGCCCTTCCGGAGCAGAGTTTGGCAGTGTCTCCACAGAGGCTCATACCCATCGGAGAGCCTCTTGGCTGTGTTCTGGCACCGGTTCAGGTGCGAGGCTGGCGCAGAGCATAGCGTGGGGGAACCTGCAAGACCTAGTTGCAAGTGCACTATCCGCAGACACGATACCCAGCCATGGCTGCCCCAGAGACCGCAGGGTGGGCTCCAGCAGGCTGTATACCCGGCCAGGTTGGCACATTTCACTTCTTAAATGGCTCGGTGGAAGGCCAAGGAAATCACTGGAGCTCTCGGCTCAGTCCAGGAAGCGCTCGCTGGGTGATTCTGATTCATGATGTCTATCTGCAGGTGCAGCCTAGTAGCCCTGCGATGCCGAAACGACCGGTCTTTGAGCTCAGGACGCGTGGAGGGCGAGAGTGGGGGAGGTGATCCTATTCGTTGAGCCCCTTTCAACGGGATTATGCTTCCTTATGCTTGTGGAAGATCAATTTGGCCAAATGACACGTTACCCCCTTGACCTGACAGTTCAAAGGAGGATGTGTGCGGCTAAGTCACGACCAAGCACGGATAAGCTTTACAGGGCTCAGTTGTCACTTAGCGACCCCGTCCCCACCCTTGGGACAGCCCAGGTTTCCATTGTTGTTCGGGTGATAGAATTGTGGGGCTGTAGATTCAAACCTGCTGAGTTGCCTACAGAAGGGGTTGCTGGAAGGCTCCGGCCATAGGCCGCCACCTTTTTTCAGGGACAACCTTCTTCATGCATACAAAAGCGTCTCAGAGTTTGGAAATGGCTGTTTAAAAAACGGAGTTAAGGAAACAGAGTATACCAGACACTATTGCTAAAAAGCTGGAGCTGGCGTGTCTCTTGATCCAGATAACTCACTACCAGATGAGAAAAAGACATCAGCTTCTTATTTCTGATGTGTGGCTGGAAGGCTTGAAGTGTGACAGGTGTTCTCTCTGCGCTTGGGGCTCCCAGGCCCCGCAGGAGACGTTTGTAGACGCTGGCGGTAGTGGAGAGTTGCGGGACTCTTTCAGGTTCTTGAACTGGAATATCCTTTGGAGAAAAATTGATAGTATTTTGGAGGTAAGGGAACACACAGGAGGAAGAATAACCTCTCTGTTCTCATAGGCAAGTGATTTATTTCCAGTTTCTTTAATTGATAGCAATATTGACAGGCTCTGCTTTTAAGCGTGTATTGTGGCAACATTTCATACAGGATAGCGTGGAAATCTGAATTGTACATCTTCGTGAATTCTGGAGTATGTACATCCCCTATAGCAAGCTCTCTCTCTTTTTTAAATTGATGGTATTTCAGGCTAAACATTACACATCGTGTGGAGCATCAATTTTCATGTCAGCTTGAAGAAAGGAAGGGGCAGTTTAAGAAAGCAGAGCCAGGTTAAGCCCTCCACACAGCTTAGTATTATTTTTGTTACTTTCCCCTTTAAAGCAGTCAGAGAAAGTGAAAACGCCAATGGGGTGAGCCTGTGTGGCTCCAGGACCAGGCTGCCAGGCACGCTGCGTGTGCATAATTGAAGTGGCCTATCTCCTTTCCACAGAGGAGTTGTATTTCACCGAAAGGGGAGTTTCTCCTTCCAAGCCGAGGAGGTATAAAGAGGTATTTGTGGGAGGGGGGGGAGATACTCAATGCCCCCTCCACCCTTTCTCTCACATTCCTCCTGAAATGTAAATGCCACGTGTGCAAACTGGGAGCCAGGGGCCATAACAGATGGTTTTGCACACAGTTGCCCAATGAGCAAAGATTCCAGGGCTAATACAGCAATAATTCGTTTCTTAGTGTGAGCCGCTTCCCGCGGGGATTCTTATCGGGAGACAATCGCATCTCCCGTTAGGGGCCCATTGTCTCCGGCAACATCCTCATTGGGAGGGCTTTGTTTTTCAGTTTTGTTCCATTGGTGATTAAATTTCCCACAGGTCTTTTCTTTTTCATTTTTCTTTTTCAGCAGTCAGGAATTTTTACCCTTTCAGAAAATGTTCCCTTGGGTGCCGCAGGTTAATCAACAAACTTCACCTACTACTCAGCTTCCTTGAGTCGGACTGTTCAGAGAATTGAGCAAGCTCCCAGATACAGGTTCTTAGCAGGAGTTTCGTGGCCTGCAGCCTTGACTATTTGAAGACCCTGTTGCTGGGCAGGAAATGTGGTCCAGAAGCCAGGCTTCCTGCCCCCCCCCCCCCCCCCCTTCAAGTTCTGACTTAGAGGCTAAAGCTGGACTTGGTCACAACTGGGTAGGGGCAGCTGGGTCACATTTCCAGCCACTTCCATGGTTGTGAGAACAGGATGGGTGCCTTACTGTGTGTTTGGGGAGGGTCCTGGGGACACAGCACAGTTCAGCAGGCAGAGGCAAGGCTAACTTCCTATCATATTGCCCTTCTTGTTCTTTTTCCCAAGCACCGGCAGTAAGGCCTGCACAGTGAGCCAAGAGGCCTAACTTCCTAGCTGGAAATCCTTGGGTGGAGTCCCAGGTCTGTCACTTCTGTCCCAGCGACCTTGGACAAACGGCTTTTCCTGCCCTTCTGTTTCCAGATATTTTCTTTGAAAGATACCTCGAGTTAACAACAAAGCAACAAAGGGGTATTGTTGAAACGTCTGTAAAACAGGACGTTAAAGAATATCTCACCTCGTTGGCATGCCGGAGTGTCTAATAAGTGAAAATATTTTAAAATGCTTAGATAGGGACTTGGGATAAGGTGAGTGGTTAGAGCTCTTGCCGGGTGAGTGTGAGGACTGGGATTGGGATCTGCAGAGTCTACGTGGCCCACCTGTAGTTCCAGCACTGGGTTCCCCATGCAAGCTGGCTTGACTAGCCCGTAGCCATGAGCTCTGTCTTGAAGAATAAGATGGGGAGTGGTTTAGGAAGACTCTTGATGTCAATGTACACAAGCACACACATGCATACACGCACTGGTACCTGTACCCATACATGTGAGCACACATAAACAAACACACTCCACATGTGCATGTTAGTAGCACCCGGTACTGTTTGAGTGACAGGATCACAGTTACCCTTTGTATTACTATTGCTGTTATTCTTCTCATTGCTACCCCTGTTGGTGCTGTTGCTAATAGCAACTGAATTTGATTTTGTCCTGTTTCTGTTTTACTCTGCTACTCTCTTGTTTTATTTATGATTAGTTTGTGTTTCAGTGCCAGGAATGGGCAAGTGCTCTCTCACTGAACTAACATCCCCAGACTTATACTGATGCTCTAACAGAGACTGAGGCTTGCTACATAGCCCAGACTGACCTTGAATCTGGTCCTCCTGGATGACAGGCACTCCTGCGATCACAGGCATATACTACCAATGCCTGGCACCAAGCCTGAGTTTGAAAGAAATTCTTCAGAACCACATACGTTTCTAGCATACAAAAGACAGTTCAGTTACCTCCTGATTCACTTCATTATCTCACTCTGTTTTAATACTTACTTACGCTGGGTACCAAATCCAAGTCTAGGCAGGAGTTGACACTATCTCAGTCTAGCAATTCTGGATACTTGGGCTAGATATGAAGTAGATGTTATGTTTTACTATTTGTTGGGAGCTGTGAACCCCTAGATCCTGAATATCTTATAAACAACTTGTTTTCCCGTGATCTGAGTGCCTACAGCTGCTCTGAGCACGAGACCCTCAGGAGATCCTGATGGCAGGGGAGTGGTTTTTGGTCTGTTTGGCTGGGGTGTGGCTATCCCTATATAAGCTGCTCCTGGACACAATAAAGGGGGCATTCTGGCTTCAAGGATGACCCGTGTCTCTCTATGAGTCTTTGTGTGTTTCAGTCTCCAGCCCCTTGCCTGCTTCACGAACTGTATAATGGCGCATAGAGCGCAGACGGGCGTGGTGCGCTACACTGTTGTTTGACTTTAGGGTCTGAGGAGAGTCTGTGATAACTCACTCATGAGGTGACCTCCCAGTCCACCAAGACTTAGAGAATTACCGTTCACTATTAGGTTGGACTTCAAACTTTAACATGTAGTTTGCTCCCAAACACCGAGAAGAGTCTTCAGTGCCTCTCGCCTCGCAGACAGTGCGGTACGTTAAACTGGAGGCTGGCTTGGTAGCGGCTCATTTCGACGCCTCCTCTTCTTCTGTGCTAATATTGATGTTTGTTTGCAGGTAGATGATTCTAATATGGCTGGTTCTCCTCTCCCGTTTGTCCCTCCACCCACAAAAATATTAATCTGTTCTAATCTTTCTTTTTCTCTTAAGTGCCAGGCATTTTCTGGAGGACCAGATGTCCCTTCAGCTGGGTTCCACTTCATTTGGATTTGGAACAGGTTGTCAAGCTTTTCAAAGGGCGGGGCTGAAGATTTCAACCCCACTCAGCCGCCTCAATTTGAAGAGTTTTTGGATTGCTTTACCTTGAGTGGTTTTTGGTGATGAGTACAGTCTTACTTGTAACCCAAGACTTGTTTCACTTGTTCCCTATAGCCACAGGGAATTCCCACATCTCCTGCATCTTCATCTGAGAGTTATTCGCCTTTTATTCATATCTGATTTTGAAGACGAAACGCACTACTGGTGTCTTAGTACTCTCAATACTGGAAGGCTTGGCAGGAGGGGAAGTTTGT